ATATCCATATTTTTGTTCATTCCAAAGACAGATGACCCAACAGAATGTAGAAATCATCAGACAATATCATTAATATCACATGCAAGTAAAATTTTGCTAAAGGCAGTTAAAAAACAGATACAACAGTACATTGACAGGAAGCTGGTAGAGGTTCAAGATAGATATAGATGAAGACATGAAACCAGGTATATCATTACTGACCTCAGATGGATCTTGGCTGAAATCATAGAATACCAGAAAGATGCTTTACCTGTGCTTTATTGACTATGCAAAGGCTTTGGACTCTGGATCATGACAAACTATGGACAATATTGCAAAGAATGAATATTCCACAACACTTAATTGTGTTCATGAGGAACCTTTACACAGACTAAAATGTACTCATTCGAACAGAACAAGGGCACACTGGTTGGTTTAAAATCAGGAAAGGTGTGCGTCAGGAGTGTGTTCTTTCACCAAACTTACTCAATCTGTATGCTGAGCAAAAATCCTAGAAGGTGGACTTTATGATGAAGAACAAGACAACAGGATTGGAGGAAGACAAGGATAATGCACTGGATCATAATGACAGTTTGAGAACTGTAAGGTCTGTGGTTCAAACTCACCAGCCCCTCCTCAGAAACCCTTTATGCGGTTGCTATGAGTTGGAACTGACTTGACAGCACTTAGCAACCACAACAAATATACATATGATATAACCTTGCTTGCTAAATGTGAAGAGGACTTAAAATACTTACTGATGAAGATCAAATAGCACAGTCATCAGCATGGGTTGCACCTCAATGTAAAGAAAACAAAAATCCTCACAGTGGACCACTAAATAACATCATAATAGAGAAAAGGTTTAAGTTGTCAAAGACTTCATTTTAGATCCACTATCAACACTTCTATGGAAGTCAAGAAATCCTACAACGGGTTGTATTTGGCAAATGTGCTGCTCAAGACCTCTCTCTGTTCAAGAGCAAAGATGCCAGTTTGAGGACTAAGGTGCACCTGACCCAATTCAGGGTTTTTTCAATAGCCTCATATGCATGTGAAAGTTTTGTAATGAGTAAGGAAGACTGTAGAAGAATTGATGTATTTGAGCTATGGTATTGTAGAAGCATATTGGAAGTACCATGGGCTGCCAGAAGAACTGTTGGAAGACGGGCAGCCAGAATGTAGCTTAGAAACCATGATGGTGAGACTTTGTGTCTCATGCTTGCAGACCTGTTACCAGGAGAGACCCGTCCCTGGAGAAAGTCTTTATGCTTGGTAAAGTGGAGTGTCAGTGTAAAAGAGCTAGACTCCCCAATGAGATGGATTGGTGCAGTAACAACAGCAGTGGACTCAAGCGTACCAACAATTATGTGGATGGCACAGGGCCAGGCAGTGTTTTGTTGTGCATAGGGTCACTTTGAGTTGGAACCAACATGACAACACCTAACAACAACACTTCATAGATGATGTGGTAAATTTCTTTAGAGCTCACAGTGCCGCCCTTTTTGTTAGCAGTCATTTATGATACTTGCTTTGACACATTAATTCATTGTTTTTAGGTGCCATCAAGTCAGTTCCGACTCACAGTGACCCTGTCTACAACAGAACAAAACACTGCCCACTACTGCACTATTCTCACAATTGTTTGAACCAATTGTCATAGCCACTGTGAAAATCCATCTCATTGGAGGTCTTCTTCCTTTTCACTGACCCTCTACTTTACAAGTATGATGGCCTTCTCCAGGGATTGGTCCTTCCTAAAGTACATGATTGAAGTCTTGCCATACTCACTTCCAAGGATTATTATTATTTTTTTTTTTTTTAAGGTTTTTATTGTGGATTGAGTGAAAGTTTACAGGGCAGATCATCAGTTTTACATTCAACAAATCATACACCCTGTTTCATTACAATGATTATAATCCCCTCCATGTACCATCAGTTAACAGTATTTCTCTCTAGTCACTTTAACTCTTTTTTTTTTAATGTTTTATTGTGAATTATGTGATAGTTTACATGGGAGAACATCAGTCTTACATTCATTCTATCGTATATTGTCTCATTGCCATGGTTACAATCCCCTCCATGCAATCCTTCCCCTGTACCCCCCAGGTCTTCAGCACACAGTCACTCTTCCTCTCTGGATCTAAAGTCTCCAGCTGCCTCATCGCTCCACGTCATCATCTCTGGCTCCATTTCAGGCATCATTGCTTCTCTGGGTAGGGTCCCGCTCTCTGCTCTTCTCCCTTGATGGTCCTAGGGACCTCCGCTCCTAGACTGAAAAGTTAATCACTCCCCTCCATGCTATAAAACATCCACCTTTACATTTCTGACCCTCACAAACAGTCCTGATAACAATTATTCAATATTGTATCACAAGAGACTGGTCTGCATTTCATTGCATCAGCCCCGCCTAGTCAGATTGAATACTACTCACTGGAGATTCTACCTTCCTCCAGGCCCTCTGGATCTAGGTTCCCTCTTGAAAGCTTGTAAGCCAGTCACTTCTTGCCTTTGTAGCCCTCCACCCCCCATTTTGGGTAGCCAATGTCCAAGTTGCCCATTCCTGTCTACTCTGTGTGTGGAGGGGGTTTAACTCTTTTTTTAAACACTCAGACATATATAATAATTTACCCCACCAAAGGGCACATTCTCACAAGTCTGCCTCCTGGCTGCCAGCTCTCAGTCCCTCTCTTTTCGTGAGTATACAGTCCTCAGCTGCTCCCTCTCTCCTTGTCCCCATCTCTGCCTCCATCTCTGGTATCACTGCTTCTCTGGGTAAGGACTCGCATTCCGCATGTGCTCTTCTCTCCAGGGAGTATTCTTGCTGTACATCTTCCAAGATAGATTTGTTCATTCTCTTGGCAATCCATGGTATAATCTATTTTTTGCCAACATCATAATTCAAATGCATCAATTCATCTCGGATCTTTCTTATTCATTGTCCAGCTTACACATGCATATGAGGCAGTTGAAAATTACATGGCTTCAACCAGGCATACCTCAGTTCTCATCTTTGCTTTTTAACACTTTAAAGACGTCTTGTGAAGCAGATTTGCCCAATACAATATGTCTTTTGATTTCTTTCATACTGCTTCTACTGGTGTTGATTGTGGGTGGAGTTAAGTAAAATGAAATCCTTAAAAACGTCCATCTTTTTCTTTATCATTCAGTTTTTTGATCCAGTTGTGAGGATTTTAGTTTTCTTTACATTGAGCTATAATCCATACTAAAGGCTTTAATTTTTGATCTTCAGCAGGAAGTACTTCAAGTCCTCTTAGATTTCAGCAATCAAGGTTGTGCCATCTGCATATTGCAGGTTGTCAATGAGCCTTCCTCCAATCCTGTTGCCATTATTGTTTATATAGGTTGTTGCTGTTAGGTGCATTCAAGTCAGTTCTGACTCACAGGGATTCTCTATAGGGTTTCCAAGGAGCAGCTGGTGAGTTTGAACTGCCGACCTTACAGTTCAAACCCACCTATGGTCAAATTCTTACATAAGTGTCACACTAGAACTCCTTATATGGTCTAGTTTCTTGATGATTTGTTCAACATACAGATTGGATAAGTATTATGAAAGAATATAACCTTGATGCATACTTTTCTTGATTTTAAACTACCCAGTAATCCCTTGTTTTGTATGAATAACTAACTACCTCTTGTTCTATGTACAGATTCCACATTTGCACAATTGTAGTTGTTGTTGTTAGGTGCCATCAAGTCGGTACTGACTCATAGCGACCCAGTGCACAACAGAACAAAACACTGCCTGATCCTGGGCCAATCTCACAATTGTTGCCACTCTTGACCCCATTGATGCTGCCAGTTTGCCAATCCATCTTGCTGGGGGTCTTCCTAATTAGTGTTCTGTAATATTCCCATTCACAGTGTTATCCATAATTTGTTATGATCCACACAGTCGAATGCTTCTTTGTATAGTCAATAAAACAAAGGTAGACCTTAATTCATTAAGTATTGCTCATTATCTTTGAATATTCAATTAACACTGAGCCCAGAATAGGGGTGTTGAAGATGTTTTCAGTGAGAACCAGTGACGTAGAACCAGGTCTTAATTAGTGATTGTACCCTCTTGTTTGGGATAACAGATTGTTTACAGCCACCATTTTAGGTTATCTGAAGCATAGTACTGGTATGTTACAGAGGAGACGGATCAGTATTGAAATGATACAGTTCTGTTCTTGCCTTCCTTCAAGCTCTTTACATAAGTTCGTTTTCTCTCAAGAGCCTTGTTCTTTTGCTTCATTTCCTTGAATCTTACTGAAAGAAGAAGAGGAGCGTCTTCTATTTTATCTGACCATATGCTTGAGCTGTCTTATTAAGAGTCGTTGTCATATTTTGAGGTGTGACACTTCATCCTGTTGCTTTAAATAGTTCCTTCCCTGTCCCAGCTTGGGAAGTCAAACCAAAATCCAAGCCCATCGCTGTTGAGTCAGTTCCAAGTTACAGTGACCCTGTACAAGGTTTCCAAGGCTGTGAATCTTCACAGGGAAAACAACTGCCTCTTTTCTTACTTCATGTGGCTGGTGGGTTTGACTATCAGCCTTTTGGTTTTCAGTCCCATGCCTGTCCCGCAGCGCCACCAGGGTTCTTTAGCTTGGGACCATTGCTGTTGTTGTTAAGTGCCATTGAGTCAGTTCCAACCCACAGCAACCCTGTATACGGTTTCCGAGGAGTGGCAGGTGAGCTTGAACCGCCAACCTTGTGGTTCAAAAACTGATCTTACAGTTCAGTGCATTAATCCACAGTGCCACACCAGGACTCTGAGTTTGGGACTATTAGGTGTCAGTCCTAAATAATTAGTTTTATACATTTAATATCCTTAACTTGTTGGAATTTTAGGTCTTCCTTTAGTTAAAAAAAGGAGCAGTCTTGTTAAGTAAACGAACAACAGCAACACAACTCTTATTGCTATGTGATGTTTAGTGTGTGTTTTGAAAGCATGGCTTTATGGTTTTCATTCTGAGCCTTTAAATAAAGAAAAATAATACTTTTTTCTATTCTAGGAAATTCACACAAACAACAAAGAAGTAACAGAAAAGGAAGTAACTCTTCACTTGTTGCCAGGTAACAGTCATATGCAAGTCAAAGCCAATGATATATGACCTCATCCCTAGCACTGCTATATATAAACTCGTTTGTTTTCATCCAGAGAGTATGTTCCTGTAATGAGTTGGGCACAAACATCAAGGTCTTTAGTTCCATAATTACACCTGGGTATTACAACATCTGCAAAGAATCTTTCTGGTTTCCACTTGGTCTCACCCAAATGGGATGCAAATAGTTCTGACAGTTGTCACCTTTTTCGCAAGCAAATGAGACTTTTTTCAGATTGCTTTCTTACTTGGCCCCTTATACTATTTGGGTCTCAAATTAGGAAAAGCCCAGTCCTCCACAGAGTCCTGCACCCCTACTCTCGTCCTCTAGCCCTCATCTGCAGCTGCCCTTGATACTACCGTGACCTTACCTGGCCATCTCTGCTTGTGCATCTGAGGATGCTGCTGTTTACCTAGGGTAACCAGGACTTCACTCAGAGCTCATTATGAGGAAGCTGGGTTGGTTGGGTACTTCTGAGTTGGAGTCAAGTGACACTTACCCGAAGAGAAGACCTTCATCATCTGTGAACTGAGGAGGCATAACAACTTCTCTGTACACGGGGATGCCCTGTGAGGAGTTGTGTAGCTGTGTATTCACTGTATTCAGTTTTTGTCCCACCTTCTTTTTCCCAATCCAAAATAGTACCCCCTTCCCCCCAGTCTTTTTTAGGTCCATTTCTCATGCTGGTGCTTTTTACTTTATTCTAGTTTATTGGGAGAATAAGTATATATTCGGATTTCTGACTGATCTATGTTCATTGGTCAAATATATTGGAAACTTGTAATTTTTCAAAAACTTTTTAGAAAAGGCTTTTAAAATATTTAATACTTAGTAGCATAAATCTTCATCCATATATCCTATTGTTTTGCTTCCCCTCCCCCACCCCCAGCACCCAGGCTCTCCTATGTCCATTCCCCACCCTGTGCTCTTTCTTCCCCTCCTTCACTCCCCTCCTCTCATCCCATATATCCCGGTGTTCAGCAATTATATATACAGATTTTTTTTTTTTTCCCCTTTTGGGTGGGTTCTTTCTTTCTTTTTTTAATTTAAGGTTTTTATTGTGGATTGAGTGAAAGTTTACAGGGCACATCATCAGTTTCACATTCAACAATTCATATAACTT